TCGCGATGACATCTTCCAAACCACCAATCGCAAAGTTAGAGACCAAAACGAAGTCAGTCATTCGAGACATCACCCAGCCAATCGTCCCCTCCACAGAACTTCTTGCTACCTACGGAGCTCGACTGCTCGATCGAAAGCATGAACGAAGGGTGGAACAACCCTATGTCGCTTCCCGGCGCCCGCCCGCAACCTACTACGCCATGGGGTTTAGACGTGCATGTCCACCGACGACGAGCTTGGAAAGTTTTCCCTATTCATTGTAACTTTCTTGCCAGGGTCTACTTCATGGCCACATACTCGCGTTTTCAGGACATCGATGTACCGGAACAGCCAGCGATGGACACACCTAGACATGGTTCCCATTTCCAAGACGACAATGTTTAGGGATTTCGCGAGCAGCATACCAGGCACGCGCGTCTGAGTCGAGAAGCGAACAAATCTCTGCTGTTTCCGCTCCCCGTTGACGGCGGTAACCATGTTCCATTTATTCTATCAATTCCGCTTGTGATAATGGTAGCCCTGCGTTGTAAGAGTAAAAGGGAAACAAACCCATTCACGGCCACTGGCAAATGAATATCTGTCGACCCGACACTGAAGCATCTTCCAGGGTTCCTGTTCTTACGACTAGAACTTCGTCTTTCAAACATCGCTATGGTATATTGACAATGCTCAATCACACTCGTAGCCATTGCTCTAACCACATAGTCCGCAAACGGGTATAAATTACACTCCACCAATACCGTCCTAATTTTGTTTTCAAACATCCTAAGCCAAGTTTATTGTGAGCGTGGATTTGTAAATGCTCTGGTCTGGCTACTGCTATCTGTTGGTTCGGACTCTGACATGTCAGAGATTGATCTCGATCGCTCGTCTTTCGATGGCTTTGGGCTCCGCTTGCGTGGTCGGGCTGTGTGAGCAAGTTCTTCAGGAGAATACAAAATTCGAAGTCGTTGCGATGAAGGAGTCGATCGGCTTCCCCAACCGATCCGAGCATTTGTCAGACCCTCAGATGATGCACTGTCAGCGTCGCGATTCGCTTGCTGCTCAGCTCTTGCACCTCCTGAACGCAAATCCAGCCTCGGTCGGCGGGGATCCGGCGGAAAATACGTAGCAGGTAACACAACCTGAGAACGTTTGATAGGTTTGGATGGTGGTCGTGCTCCTATTTCCCGGGCTCTCTGTCTGAACTTGATGAACTTGTCCTCGTTCAATCCGAGTATGCCTTCCAGCTTCTCCACTATTAGATCGGGCCGGTCCAGGAGAACTTCGTCTTCGCTGCTTTCCCCCTCTGAGTCGTCGGTAGTCCTCAACTGAACGTCGTAGAAGACGGCGAGGTAGGCCAACATGGAGCGGTGACGATCCGGTGGCGGGTCTCTCAGAGAGTAAAATTCGTTCGCGTTTCGAGGGAAGTGGGTGAGTTTTGGTTCGATAATGCCCTGCTCAGGGTTGTACACGACGACGGGCCGGATAGGCAAAGTGGGATTCTTTAAAGCATTATTTCGAGTGTAGGCGTGCAACTGGCGCATCTCAGCTTCAAGGCGGTTGGTCTTCTCTTCGAGACGGTCGGTTTTCGTTTCTAGGCGAGAAATAGATTCGCGGACGAAGGCAAACTCAGCGTCAGGTGTGCGTCTTGAGTATTCCTCAGATCAATGTAGTCGTCGAGCGACAGGCAGCGTGGTCGATTGTTGTCGCGCGGAAATGCGCAAGAAGGCGACGATATCATTGTGGATGTTGGTGTAGGGGTGAAATTCATCCGGCGCCGAGACGAAAGTGCACTGTTGGTAATGGGCGAGGAGAAACTGAGGCACAGGTCATGTCTTATGTGCGTGGGACGGTCAGCTATGTAGGCACTGCCCTACTGGCTTCACCTGAGCCATGCCAGATGGCGAGCATTTCGGAGCGGTACTTTGAATTGATTCTGTCAGCCTAGCAGGGATCACCACCTCCATGAGCCGGGGGCGTCCACGCGCTTGCTCCAAACTCGGCTGGTACCATGTGCAAGAGTTTTTCACTTAGGGAAAGCACCGCAAATTGCTGGAAAATCAGATGGATGCATATCGTGCATGTCCTTTGCGGTTATGATGACTTTCGCTGCTATCAGCCAGACGAAGGAAAGCTTAAAAACTCGCGTCACAAGCTTATATGAGCGGTATAAAGAAGATCACATGGCATGGGCCAGCTCTGCGAAGGCCGAAAGCCGGCAGGAGCTCCGTGAGTCGGGATGACTGCGCGGTGTTCCCCTGATTCATCGGCTCCAGTGCTTTCATATCCTTTACGACCTTGACCGCCAGCTCGCTGGCTTTCTGAGCCTCCTTGGCGGCCGCGTTGGCCGCGCGCGTGGCATTGGTGTTCTCCTCGAGTTCGACCATGTCCTGCTGCACCGCGATCCTGATGGTTCTCGTTTCGCGGGTGGTGTTCTCGTTGGCTGTTTTGGTTTCCGCACGTAGGCTCTCAATGGCTTGGTGGAGGTGTCCGAGCTCGGGCAGGTTCTGCATTTTGGCACAGGGAGAGGGTAGCAAGGAGCGTGGCCCTCACGGCTTGCGAGTCGAGGGATTGACCATTTGCGGTGTCGATAGACTTGACTGCTGTCTGGAGGTGTCTGCTAAGTTGGGTGGCGTGCTCTCGGTGATGCGTTGGCCATATTTACTCCTAGGGCCATGAGGTTGCCATGGTGCCTACGTCGCTATGGGCTTCACGACGAGCACACGGCTATCCAATTAACCTTTCGGAGTGTGTTGTGGTGCTATTTTTGCTCAGATTTCAAAAATGTCGTTCTCGCTTTGTTGATATATTTTTTTTGGTGAGGGCACAGACTGAAAGCTGTACCGACTCAGCCCGAGGCTTCGGCCGAGAGGGTTCATCCGAACCGGTGTAATCATTGTGTTTCTGCTTTCTTCGAAGCTGGATGTAAACGTCGGCAACATAACGCTACCTTATCTCCTCACATCGCCATATAAGATTACTTGTGGCCTTGACAAAATTCTCGTTGGTTCTGCTGGGAAAGGCTCATTTTGACCTTGGAGGGCCAGGACGTGAGGGCTGTATTTGGGTGGTTCCTTGGCAGACACCTCCAGACAGCAGTCAAGTCTATCGACACCGCAAACGGAAACCCCCTCAACCCACAGGCTGTGAGGGCCACGCTCATCGCGGCCCTCTCTCTGATCGTCAAATTGCAGAACCTACCCGAACTCGGACACCTCCACCAGGCTATCGAGAGCCTGCGAGCGGAAACCAAAACAGCCAACGAGAACACCACCCGCGAAACGAGAACCATAAAGATCGCCCTGCAACAGAACACAGTTGAACTCAAGGAGAATGCTAACACGACACGTGCGGCTAACGAAGCCGCGAAGGAGGCTTGGAAAACCAGCGAGCTGGCGGCTAAGGTCGTAAAGGACATCAAAGCACTGGGACCGATGAATCAGGGGAGCACCGCACAGTCATATGCTAGCGTAGCCGCCCGAGGAGGACTCGCAGGAAGCATGCATAATCCCCATAACCAGAAAGCGTCTCAGACCCAGACTCTACGTGAGATCATCGTGAACATTAGAGACCCCATCACCATCGCCAGCCTAAGAGCCATGAACTCCCGTAGCCTTAAGGCGCACGTAGACCGCGCCATCGAAGAAAGCAGTAACGAACATATTCGCAAGCTCGAGCCAGTGTCCGCCAATCAGCTCAAGAGTGGCGACCTGAGCATCGAAACAGCCACGACAAACGATATGGAGGCCCTCCGCCAATTCGCCGAGGACTGGGAAAGTCGCATTGGCAACGGAGCCGCGGTGCGGATCCCAACTTACGGAGTACTAGCGCATGGCATACGGACTAGCTCAATGGATATGGACCGCTTCAGCGAGATCAGAGATGACCTGCTGCAGGATAACAAAGCATTCATCCCCACCGCAGAGATCAAATACATTGGTTGGCTGACCCGATCAGCTAGCAAGAAGACTGCATCAACAATTGTGGTGGAATTTTCAAAGGCAGAAGACGCCAATAAACTCATTGATGGGGGTCTCATCTGGCAAGGCCAGGTATTCCAATGCGAACGATATGACAGAAAGTGCCGTCTGAGGCAATGCTTCAAGTGCCACATATACGGCCACACAGGAACCCAGTGCAAGGCAACGACAACATGCGGCTACTGCGCGCAAGAACACATGACCCGAGACTGCCCCTCGAAAAGCGACACGGAAACGCCTAGGAAATGCGCCGCATGCCATGGCGAACATGAAGCCTGGAGCGGCAGATGCCCTACTAGAATACGCGAGAAGGCCAAGATCAGGACCGCCTACAACCAGCGGCCAAGGTACCACCCGGAACAAGCGACCCCGTAGCCGGCCCTAGGACCGGAAGCCCGGACCCGGCCGAATCCGAGGATGGCACGACCGACACTGGACCGTCAATCCCAGGAAAACCAACCGACCCGGAGCCGGTCCCTGACGAAGAAGGTCCAGAAACGGCCTAACCCGACGGATACCCAGGAACCACAGGGGACGATTACGGTGGCTGCGGAGAATACGCGCCCGAAGCGTACCATCGTCCGGTCGCGAAGAGCGCTCGAGGCACTCGATCCAAGCACACAGATGACAAACGACAGTACGGCGATGGAAATCGTAGTCGACGACAGCGAATGAACGGACAACATACACTCACAACACTACAGTACAATGTAAGAAAATCTAAAGATACAGTCATGGCAACACTCCTCCGCGACCCGAGCATCGACAAGTACGACATCATCGCCATCCAGGAACCGTGGAGGAACCCCTTCAGCGTAACGACACATCACCCAGCCAAGGACCGCTTCCACCTCTGCTACCCGTCCGGTGAAGAAAGAGGACCAGCTAGAGTGTGCTTCTTTATCAACAAAAAGATTGACCACTCGCAATGGCAGTTCAGGGAGAGCAGTAGAGATCTCTGCGCTATCAGCATGGGGCCGGGCGAGGGCGCCCACCGCATCGTGAAATGGGCCCGGAACAGACAGAATCAGCCGACGACCGTCACGCCAGAAACTCAGAAACCCAACAAGCCGCAGATTGCTACCACTCCCGAGGAGAAGGCGGCACTGTTTAAAGAGACCATCTTTCCCCCGCCCCCAGAAGCTAACCTCGAAGACAACAATGCAACATACAGCAACCAGATCGCTCTACTGGCAATATCCGAAAGCGAAATGGAAGACGCCATTCGGGAAGCAGCGCCGCTGAAGGCCCCGGGTCCCGATGGCATCACCAATCTGGCACTTCGGATGGCGAGAAAATGGATTACACCACACTTCGTGCGTATATTCAATCAATGCCTCCGGCTCGTACATTGTCCGAAACACCTCAGGAAGTCCACCACGGTGGTACTGAGGAAGCCAGGTAAAGAAAACTACACAGCGCTCAAAGCATACAGGCCGATAGCCCTCTTGAAAACAGTTGGCAAAGTCATGGATGCCATAGTAGCAAAAAGACTGAGCTACCTTGCCGAAACACACGGATTGCTACCAGATAGCCATATGGGCGGGAGAAAACAACGGTCGACTGAACACGCACTGCATCAGATCATGAATAGGATATAAGAAGCCTGGGAAAGGGAATGATAGCAAGCCCTCTTCTCCTCGACGTGTCAGGTGCCTTTGATAATGCTTCGCACCGCCGACTCCTTCACAACCTGAGGAAGAGACGGATTGATGAAGCGACGGTGCGTTGGATTGCTAGTTTCTTTGGATGCCGAGAGACGGAGATCAACGTGGAAGGATTCCGATCCGAAACATACAGAATCAACACCGGCATCCCACAACGAGCGCCCCTATTGCCAATGCTCTACCTCCTCTACAACGCAGATCTCCTGGACAGCTGCAACGAAGCCGGAGACTCGACAGCCACCGGCTTCATTGATGACATAGCGATCGTTGCGGTGGGGAACCGCACTGAGGAAACCTGCCAGAAACTTCAAGAAGCGCTTCTGAAAGCTGAGATGTGGTCCCTCGCTCAGGCCTCCATCTTCGCACCCAAAAAGTTCCAGCTTACCCACTTCACACGAGCGAAAACCAGATTCGACTCAGACACGACACTCCAGAGCCCATGGGGAAAAATTGAGCCCAAGACAACATGTGAATACCTCGGTCTCATTATGGACTCATCACTTAAGTGGAAACAGCGCATCGACGGGACAGAAAGCAAGGCCACCAACACCATCACAGCACTCAGCGGCATCGACGGTCAAGTCGGAGCCGCCGCAGTCTGCACATCCGCAAATCACATATGGGAGACGATACAACATCGACGGTCTACGCGGGAGAACTGCAGGTCATTGTCCTGACCCTCGAGATGACTCAGGCAGACAAGCAAAACGGAAATCACAGACGCATAGTCTTCATCCACACCGACAACCAGGCTGCTGTCAGATCGTCAGCCAAGCCAAAGGGAAATACGGTGCATACCTCCTTAAGGTCATCGCAGGCAAGACACAATCACTCCGGGAATAAGGACTCGAAGTCGAGCTCCGATGGGTGCCCGCTCACATCGGCATCGAGGGCAACAGCAGATGTCGCCGCGAAAGAGGCCACAGGGTGGAGGCAGAACGGACAGCCAGGTACAAGGGCAGACAAGCCGAGAGCCTTGTTCAAGCTCAGGTCCACGATCGAGACGTGGTCGCACGAACAGTACCATCAAAGGTGGCAAACCACCTTGGAAGACGAGACGCGAGGAAGGACGTCTTTCCGCCTCACGCCGAAGCCGACAAAGAAGGTCATTCAAATCCACGAAGGCCTCAGCAAACGTCAAAGTGCACTCCTAGTCCAGACGGGCACGGAAAAGATCGGGCTCCAGGATTTCCTCTTCAGCCGAAGAGTGCCAGGCATTACCAACGCCAACTGCCCCTGCCGAGAAGGACGACAAACGGTATCGCGCATCCTGCTGCGACGCCGCAGGTATCGACAACTCCGGCGCCAGGAATTCGGAACCCTTCCAGGACGACACAATCTTCGGGTCATACTGAACAAGCGCAAAGTAGCCACCAAGGCAATCCGATTAATAGAACAAAGCGAGATCCTTGGGCAACACAGGATCGAGTCGAAACCCAGACAAAGCTGAGCATTGGGGGGAGACTGCAGGTCAATGGAACCGTCACACGAGGCGCAAGACCTCAACAGAGCCTAGACACATGTGTACATTAGTAGAGAACCGCAAACTACACTTGGTGGCAGCCAGAGATAGATGAGGTTGGAGGACAAAGCTGAAAATTTGGAGACAGCTGGCCAATAATTTGCATTGGCGAAGTTGGGCGCTGCGGAGTAACACCGGGAGCGCGTCGGGTGTTGGCCAAACACCGTTATCCGGGCATAGCTGCTGACATAAGACCGGCTGAAAACCGTGTAGGGTAAAATTCATGAATCAATCATGATCACCGACAAAGGAATCCGTACAGGAACGGGACTTTAATGTAGTATGGACTCGAGCCGGGCTCAAGGACAAGTTCCGTAGCTTCTGCAGTAATTAACTTCGTATCAGATCTCAGCATCGCTTTTAGCTTACTGACAAATCTTCAGTATGGTCAGCAGTGGCATAACGAATGGGGATAAAACGAGGTTTTTTTTGCCTAGAGTGATCTTCTGGGCCTGCAGTAGATCTATATAAACAAGTGGCATCTATCCCTTGTAGGGCAATCCTGGCCCGACTATGTGGTTAACTGAGTAATGACTGTATGCGGTGAGTTTCACCTAAGCGAGGGTATCTCAGGTTCTGTCACCAGAGGTATGAGTAAGGCTAGCAAGGGTATCCTTATACAAGGGGATCGTACAGTCATTATATAGATATAGGGTTTCTTTCCATAGCCATTCTGTCAGACCTGGACATTGCATATACGAGTCATGCATTCAACCCATACTCGAGTCCCTATTACAATGAGGGATATAGGCATTATGGCATTGGAACCTTGTTCTGTTTCTTGTTTTAAGTTAGACATGTGTCAACAACAACAACATATCATTCGCTTAGTAGGCAATAGACCAATATGCACATTCTTACTGGCTGCCAAGCTGTCGCCTGACACATTCATGGGAGACTCATCAATACACACAAAATGACCCCTACCTGTCTAACTGCTGCTCGATAAGAACTAAATCAAGTCAAACTTAAGGTCTGTACACAAAGCACTACATATGCCCACTGCAGCTATGTCCAAACCCACATGTCAGCCGCTATCAAGCATCTCAAATATAGCTTGCAGAATCACACCTTGCGATCCTGAAGCTTTTTAAGGTGTAAGCTTGCACCCAAGGTCCCTGTTGCATGTATTTAAACAACCCTTGTAGGCTTGATTGTTTCCTCTCCCGTAAAAGCAGTCCTTGCGGCATAAGATACACTGTGCATTGTCAGTTATGCCGCGAGAAGCAGTCAGATAGCTTGCGTACCTCTGTACCCTGGCGAGGTTCGATAACTACAGGGCCTGCAATGGCAATGCCTGCGAAGAGGGCGATTAGAATGGGAGAGAATTGCATTCTGTAACAGGTTGGTAGCGTCGGTTGACGGCAACTCTTGAAGATTGACAAAGGTGAATGAAAGAGGGAAGAGAGAGCTGTTGTCGGCTGGTCGTAGAGAGTGAATAGATATACCGGATGCCGTCTGAGGTGTGAGGAGATTTGGAGCGAGCAACGCTTCTTAAATAGAAATTCCAAGAGGGACAATCCAGAAGCAATTAAATAATTAGCGCAGTATGGATAGGCTGCTCTTCAGAGTTTTGTCTGGGGCTCCGTAACCTGACTCGATGCTAAGTTCAGCTGACACAAATTTGACACAGCCCTAGTTGAAAGACCGACCAAAGGCCCTTAAGAAGAATATTCGAAGGGTGATTAGATCGCTTATTAGCGTGTCTTATATGCTGAAGTGCGGTTACATCTGTGGGAAAATTCTGTTTTAAAAACTCTGGCGATAATAATTATTGAGACAAACTCTCCTGGCGGCTGCTACCACTGGACCAGCACCCCAGTATATTCTAAGATTTGTTTAGGAAAATATTTAAGTAGAGATACTTCAGTACTGAGTTAATTACATAGTATAATAAAAAGTTATAGTGTATAGTCTTTGATTCAAGGCTTCCTGTGGTAATATAATAAAGTTCTTCCTTGTAATTTACTGTTCAAGAACGTTCCATGGAAGGCGATTAATGCCAGGATCAAGGCGGCGCTGCAACTTACTCCTACGGGATGTACCGTGCAGCAACAGACAGACCGGCTCATGTCGGTAGTATCGGAAGCGGGAAAGGCGTTGGCGCCTACAGCTAAGCCGTCTAGGTATGCGAAGAGATGGTGGACGGACGACCTCACTCAGCTGCGCCGGATCCACACATTTTGGAGGAACCGAGCGAGGGTGGAGAGACGGGCCAGCCACTGTCCGCCAGAGCTCGAGGAGCGAGCGCCGGCGGCGGCGAAGCAGTGTCACGACGCAATCCGACAACAGAAGAAGAAGCACTGGCATAAGTCTCTGGCTGACGATACGAACATCTGGAAGGCAGTCAAGTATCTAGGCGCTGAAAAGGGCGCCTCGTTTGACAAGATACCCCAGCTTACCCGAGCGGACGGCTCAAAGACGGAAGAGACCGGAGAACAGGCGGAGGAACTGCTGTCTACTTTCTTCCCTCCGCTCCCGAACAACATTGAAGACGAGGGACAACGTCCACAGCGGCCGCCGGTACCCTTCCCCGATGTCACGTCAGAAGAGGTGGAGAGACAACTGTTCGCAGCAAAGTCATGGAAAGCATCCGGAGAGGATGGACTGCCGGTAGCTGTGTGGAAGCAGACATGGCCCATAGTGAAACATCGGGTGCTCGCTCTGTTTCGAGCTTCGGGAGAGGCAGGAGAACTGCCTAGGCAATGGAGGCATGCGAAGATCATTCCGCTGAAGAAACCGAACAAGAACGACTACACCTTTGCGAAGGCCTGGCGACCGATCTTGCTGTTATCGACACTGGGGAAGGTGCTTGAGTCGGTAATAGCCGAGAGAATATCATATGCGGTCGAGACATTCGGGCTCCTGCCTACCAGCCACTTCGGTGCCCGGAAGCAGCGGTCGGCAGAACAAGCCCTGGTGTTGCTTCAGGAGCACATCTACAGAGCATGGAGGAAGAGAAAAGTGTTCAGCCTGGTCAGTTTCGACGTTAAAGGCGCGTACAACGGAGTATATAAAGAAAGACTGCTTCAGAGACTCAAGGCGAGAGGGATCCCGGAAAAGCTGTTGAAGTGGGTCGGTGCATTCTGTTCGCAGCGGACAGCAAGCATTCAGGTCAACGGCCAGGTCTCGGAGGTTCGCTCCTTGCCCCATGCTGGACTACCTCAGGGTTCACCGCTGTCGCCTGTTCTGTTCCTTTTCTTTAACGCCGATTTGGTTCAACACCAAATCGATGAGAGTGGAGGCTCGATAGCATTCGTAGACGACTATACGGCATGGGTCACCGGACCATCACGAGAGGCAAACCGATAAAGATTCAGGCCATCATCGACCGAGCACTCGACTAGGAACGACGAAGCGGGGCGACCTTCGAAGCAGACAAGACGGCCATCATACACTTCACCCGTAACTGGCGACAGCCGGAAGATTACTCAACCTTTGACATCAAGGGGGACACAGTCCGGCCTCAAGAGCGCGTAAAGGTCCTGGGCGTGATTATGGACACGAAACTGCACTTCGAGCAACACGTCGCAGAAGCGGCGACGAAAGGCCTCGAAGCCGTACTGGAGCTCAGACGACTTAAGGGCCTATCTCCGTCAACGACAAGGCAACTCTTCGTGGCGGCGGTAGCACCGACAATGGACTATGCATCGAACGTCTGGAAACACAGGTGCAGGGCAGCCCAGATGAGGGTCATCAACAGGGTACAGAGGATCGGAGCCCAAGCCATCATTGGAACCTTCAATACTGTGGCGACAGCGGTCGCCGAAGCAGAAGCAAGCATACAGTCAGCCCAGGAACGATTCGATAGGAAAGCGACCAAGTTCTGGGTGCGTCTCCAGACTCTGCCTATGAGTCATCCGCTGCGACGCATCAGACCTCAGAGCTTCAAGACGCACATCTCGCCTTTCCAGAAGATGGCCGCAGCATATCGAGACCTACCAGTGGATAGGATGGAGACCATCGAAGCGTTCCCACAGCCACCGTGGGAAAGCCGATTGCATACGATAATAGAGAAAGACGGTGATAAGGCGAGCAAGGCGATCCAGACTGGGTGGGCCGTGAGGGCGGCAACAAGTAGCTCGGCAAGAAACGAAATCGTAGGCTATGGAACAGCAATACTGCTCCCCCTGTCTCATAGAGGAGGCGGTTCTACAACGACAGCATCAACCACAATCGGCTCCAGGGCGGAACAGAACCCATATACGGCAGAGCTCACAGCGATAGCAAAGACGCTGGAGACCGTTTCAAAAAGGATCCGTCATCGTGCTATCCATTTGTTTTCCACCAACAAAGCGGCCGTCTCAGCAGCAGGGAGACCACGACAACAATCAGGCCAACAAATTATCTGTCGCATGTACAAGGCAGTCAACACGCTCATAAGCAAAGGCAACAAGGTAACACTCTTCTGGCTTCCGGCAAGCGTAGAATCCGACCTCAAGCTGGGGGCCAAAGCAGCGGCGAAAGAGAGCACGCAGCAAGGGAGGACGCCGAGGAAGAAGCCAACCAGGGCCTTTTTCACCACACTCAGAAACGTATTGAGGGAGGTGCAGAAGTACTGCAGGTTACCGGAAGGTGTAGGAAAGTTTTCGAAAGGGTCGACGCGGCCCTGCCGGGAAAGCACACACGGCAACTGTACGACTCATTTTCATGGAAGGAGGCCAGTGTACTGGCCCAGCTGCGGACGGGAATGGCAAGGCTCAACTGGTATCTGCACCAGATCGGGGCGGCCGCCTCGGATCGATGTGCATGCGGACAGGCAGCAGAGACAGTCGAGCATTTTCTCTTCCGGTGCACCCAATGGACAGCACAACGCGCACCGATGCTTCAACGAACAGACACGCACAGAGGCAACCTATCATTCTACCTAGGCGGGAAGGCTACGGCTGACTACGACGAATGGTCGCCATGTATGGATGTAGTGAGAGAAACAGTGAAGTTCGCTATGGCAACGGGACGACTCGATATGCAGATCAGCTAAAGACGGGACGAGAACGACGCATGACCACATAATTAATACTAACCACCGACTAACCCCATACACACCCTCGTGCCACCGACAGCAGGACTCGCTTCAGCTGCCGAATATAGAGACCTGAACACTTGGAGGAATTGGCTCCAAGATGGCCTGCTACTAACCCTCACGAGGAACCGCAACTATTAACAGGAGTAATCAAAGATGATCAGACGGAAGTGGATCTTGCTTATGGGTGGATCTGAGACCAGGGTAATAACTCAACTAGGGGAGCATGTAGGATAGATATAAGAGCCCTTTATGGCTTAGCCAGGGCGTAATAAACTCTGTGTGTGTGTAAGGTGGATGCCGCTGTATCAGTTTTGCGTGCCTGCCTACCAATTCCCTTTCTGTATACGCGATTCTTTTAGTTTCTGATTTAATGTAATAGTATTGTCGAAAACATTCTGATAGTGTTAATACGATCCTTTACTAATAAACTTATGATTCACATAGCATCGTCCGAAGCGGACTACAATGTGATCAATCCGAGAACTTGCTACAGCCTATATCCTTGTCGTATCCCGTACAACAACTACAGAAGCCGGTGGTGTCAGTGACTTGACAAAGGTCCTATGATTGTGAATGTGTTAACAAATAGAAGTCTTATAGTCTCGCTTCTTTCAAAGAGGTGGGGGCCTACTTTGAGATCCTTAGATGCGCCGCAGCAACTCTTGGTAAGACTCGCGTGCGTAATTCTATCCTGCTCGCCCCCGGCTTTATTGGGGACGCAAGCCACGTAGTACACAGGCACGCTAATTTCATATGCAAGAGCGCTATTCCATGCTTCGTTAGGTTATTGGAGGCGGGACTCATAAGACATACGATTCATACCTTGTGCCAAGCACAGCAGTGATGAGAAAGGCCGCAGTCAGCATATTGGTGCTAGACTGGCCAGCGAAAGAATACTAAAATAAATAGCTGATCAATGATACATGATTGACGGCAACCGAAGAGGATAACATCATTAAATACCTTTTCCAAATGGAATTTTTGATAAAGATACAGCTATGTAACTTCCCGTACTAACCGTCGGTAAACGCTGATCGGGTGCGCATGTTTATTTTTAGGTAGTCATTTCCCACGGTCACTTGCCTACCAAATACCAGCCTTGCCGGGACGAGGTCTTGGGTGATTCAGTAGTCAAGTTCATCTCAAAAATGCCTCACATAAACTATGAAATGACTCGAACGTTGAAGGGTAGGCGTCACGCTTTGGCATTGAGTGGTTATTGGCAGTACTCCGTGCAAAACTTTCGACTTCCGATTCCCTTGAAGCAGCCAGTAACAATACGTGAATATCAGTTATGTCTCCACAGATTATACGTGCAATGCGTCCCATTACCCGGGATTCATTGACCTTGCCGCGCACCAGGTGTCAGCCTTCTAGGACGGTGCTGGTTCTTTCAGTCTTCGAGTACATTAGACCTTCCATACCCTAAAGAGGTGTCTTGGAAAAATATTGTCTTTCAGACACGAGCAGGTGCCGTTCGCTCCATGTGGGTAGGGAACATGGAAGCATTTGCACTTCCTAGTGCAGAGACAAGAGAAATCAGGCTCATGGACATGGTCCTGGTATCTCTATAGTGCCACTCTTACTCTCTCTTTTTTTCTCTCTTGACGACTGGGTAATACGTTGGGAGAGGGAATTCTTTCTAGGTGACACCTCTATCGAGCGGGAGGAGAGATAAGGGGGGGATTCAGGGCAGACCACTGCCCCAAATTGTCTCCCTTATCCTCGGTCTTCGAAGAGGGAGAGAGTCTAGGAAAAAGGGGAGGGGGAGAGAGAAGGACATGAGGGGAGGGAAAGGGTCGAGAAGGGGGCACTCCCAGAGAACCTCCTATCCCAGAGTGTCCCCCCTATCGAGTGTAGGGGTAGAAAGTCGAGGAGAGGGTTAGCGGGACGAAGGAGAGGAAGAGAGTTCAGGGAATAGGGGAGAAAGAAAGTGTCGAACAGAGGGAAAGAATCGAAGGGGGGGAGGAATCGAGACGGCCGGCACCTAGAGAGAAGTAGGCGCGAGGCTCAACCTCTACATCCTGACGAAGGAGCTCCAGAGGATACAGAACCTAACCGGCACCTTAGATGGATGCTGAACCAGTTGCAGGGTTCTCTTAATGTGATAATATATATACTTTGGATTTATAGACTAGTCATTTCGGCTTGCCCGCAAAATGGGAGTCAGCCTGGTGTCACATAATTTTAACTTTTTTGTTTCTTTTTCAAAATTAGCTTCTCCTTGACGGTGACCCTCTATAAATGATTAATGTGGGTGGTACGTGCAGCGACCGCGCTTCATGTCATCGCTAGTCTAGCATAGTGTTCGCCGTCGCACATTAATGCTTCAGATGAATACTTTTGAGGCGGGCTATATTGGTGATAGTTTGTTAGTGGTGAGGGTCGTGGGTGTGTGAAAGAGAGACATTGAAAAGTGGTAAAAAAAAGTCGGGTGATGCTGTGCGGTTTGTGAATGGGGCTCTCCGATTGGTCAAAAAGGTGGGAGAGTGCTTTGACTGCGCCCCACCGGTTTCTGACAGGGGTTAAACTTTGGCCTGATACCCGGATCGTACCTAGTAAAGCTCGGATGGTGTTGGATCACGTTTCCTAGGGCTTCGGCGTGATACGACCGGCAGTGAAAAGTGCCTTTCGTGCTGTCACTGACAGAGCTTTGGGCAGCTACTGAGATGAGCTTAAGGGGAAAGTTCAAGGTGAGGTGGGAGATAAGTTGAAGATATATTAAACCTCGAGTCACCGCCTCTTACTTGCTTGATGAAATGTATCCCGTTCGGGAATCTACGCCCCGATTTTGAATACTCCATTATAGCCAGCTCGGGCATGATAACGTATGAGAAACATATATAAGAAGCGAATTGATCGTCTGTCACTATCAATCGTCAGCCTGCAATACCATCTTATATATTACATCTGGTCTCCCTCGCAACACAATTAAATCCCAAGTCTATCTACCTTCAACCAAACGCAGATTAAGATGCATTTCCCGTCCGTCCTGGCAACCCTTTGGACCGTGGCACTCGCCCCGGTGCTGGTCCTCGCCGACAACGCCGACAGCAACTGCCCAGCAGAACAGTCGGTCCCGTGCAACTTTGGCAATGGGGTGCCCCGCTGTCTCGGCGTCCAACAAAGATACTACTGCCTCCTCAGCTGCCCGAAGGGTAGCACCTGTCCGTCAGACTGTGAGAAGGCGGGCAAGGGCGGAGGATGGTGCGCCGCGGATAACGGGCCCAGCTGGAGCGGGTACTGCATTTGTGAGAATGGGCATAATACAGTGCATTTTAACCCTGATAAGCCCATACATGGGTAGGGGACAGCACCAACGGGAGGAGATGTTGACGTTGGAACACTTTCAATGTTGTAAAAGAGCATTTCTCCGCTCCCGGGGATGCTCATGTCTTACTTAGTCTACCTATAATGCAGAGACGCTATCATTGTAGGAGACTGGTTGGAGGCGATTCCGGGCTACATTACGGCGATCGGGGACACCTCAGAGAGAACTTTTAAGCTACCACAATAACATATCTTTACATATTCAATGCGTTTATATCAATCTATATACCAATCATAACCTAGTTACCGCCGCCCATCCCTAAAAACCCGGGGTTAAAATTATGCTAATGAAGATGTTACGAGAGCAAAGTGGGAAAGTTGGAGACAGCTGGTCAGTGTTCTACATTGGCGAAGTGGGGCGTGACGGATTGAAGTTCGGAGCGCGTCGGCTGTTGGCCAAACCCCGCTATCCGGGCATAGCTGCTGACTAAAGCGGCCAAAACCGAGTAGGAATCAATCAAATCAAATCAAATCAATCAGCGGGCCAAAAGGCACGGAGACCTCAAGGTACGACCGATCTGTGACGACTTAGTCATCATTCTCGCATCTACGTGTTTTGTTCGTGGACGTCCCAAGCATGTCCTTAGTGCGTCCGAACTTGTCCACCGTTGTACGTGGATGTCCCAAGGGCGTCCTCATTACGTCCGAACTTGTCCACCGTTGGCCATGGACGTCCAAAGGGCGTCCTCGGTGCGTCCGAACTTATCCACCGTTGTCCGCGGACGTCCCAGGAGCGTCCTAGATCTA